CGATTTGCCCTTGTATCTGAATTACATGCAGGTGGCATCCTTGATCAGATTGATGATGGAATCACGAAGCTTTCTAGACAGATTGAGGAACTCACAGAGCAGTTAAAGGAACTCAAAGCAAAGCGAATTCAACATATATCATCCACTAGGTTTGCACAATCAAGTCTAACAGAGGGGTTCTTGTCCCAAGCTTTGGAGTTGAGATTGAATATGGCAATGGCCAGTCTGTTGTAATCTATGCAGACCCCTGAATTACTTTTCATGTTTAAACTTTCATAATTTGATTGCATCTTTGTCAAACCTTTTGATTTGTTGTCCTTACGAGGTAACTTGCAAGAACCACTTTTCTGAGTTGATCAAGACAAGGAGGCCTTACTTTGCCGTGCTTCCTGCAGAACTCATTTTAAAACTAGAATTAAATGAAAAATTAAACATGCTAATGAGCGCATACTAGCATTAAATTTTTTAAGGGTGTTAACCATGGGCGACGTAGAGAATCACAATGCTATTTTCTCGAGATAAGAAGAAAGCTAGTTTTGAATTGACTATGAAATAATATATAATAAAGGCAATTATCCAATACACTATAGACATAGAAATTTTATAAAAAGAGTTGTGTACCAAAACTTTTCATTTAATATTTGACACCTCATTGCTGAGGGAGACTCATAAATTATTGAAAATTCACTTGAATCTGATCTCTCCACCTCTGTTATGGGAATGAAAATTGAAGATTTATTGTATAAACAATTGTTTGGATCTTCTTTCTGTTAGGTTTCTTTAGTGTGTAATCAACTAATCTGCCTCGCTCTTGAAGACCAACATGTTGCCAATGTATCCTCCTGGTAAGTCTCTCAAACTGCAATTCTTGAAACCACCTGGAATTGTGCCTTCAGCTTCTCTTTCCCGTTTCTGCTAGATTGTTTGGTTAAGGACAGATAGCTGGAAGCTGAGAGAAGAATGTCCTATTTTAATCGCAGTTCCGCCTGTCACATGAGAACAATTTTGTTTTAGACAATCAATTCTGTCCTTTCCATCTCAAGAATTCTTTACTCATCTGTTATCCGGTAACCAAACAGTGTTCCAAGATCTAAAACAGGATTAGTAGTGTTCTCATCATACTCTTGATATCTTGCAGCCTCCCCCAATTCTACCTTATCAAGAAGTTCTAACAACAAAGAAAAGCAGTATTAAACAATGCAGAGTTGCAATATGAAGAATGTATAGTGGTAAGGATGCATGACAGAGATCATTACAGTGTCATTATTGTCTGTGAGAGAAACTGTAGACCTCAGCAGTCGATCATGAATACATGACCATGTAATATAGAATAATTCACACATTGTTGCAAAAAGGAATATTCTCTAGAAAGAAAATACAGTTCATACACGAACAATATCATCTTCTAGGATATTTCTTTCTACATTAGAGATTGCCTTCACACTTATCATTTGCCACCAAAAGGATGATTAGATGAAATGGTTCTACCAAGAGAGACTCGTTTGTAGGGGCAGCTAACATCATACCTGGGTCCTCAGAGAAAGGTCTTCACAAAGGAAGAGTAGTAGGATAGCAGGAGTTGTGTTAGTCTTGCATAGGCATCAGGGAAACCTGATGTTAGTACCATAAAAAGGTGAAAGGGAGAGTGTTGCGTGGCTAGGATTTTACACCCAAGGTTCCTGGTAACTATTTTTTGCTTCTGGAGCTGAAGTATTAACAGCATCCAAGATGCTGTAAAACTTTAAGATAGAATTATGATTTTTTGGTTCCACTGTTTAAGTAGGATTTCATTTCTCATTGATAATGCATAATGACTAGTTTTGAGTTGCTTTGTAAATACAAATTTGACTATGTACGTACTAAAACATTTATGATTCACTGTTTGTTTTGTTTCGTTAACTAGTTAATTTTTTTATATGAGAATTAAAATTTAACTTATCATTATGTCGTCGAAATTCTAATAATTAAATTAAATTTCGTTTAAATAAATTGTAATATAATTTAATAAATAAATATTTTATAATGATTAAATTTTGTTGATTAGAGTAGTTATAACGAACTAAAAAATTCATAATAATCTTTTACTTATAAAAAAAGTTAAATATCTTCAATTTTAATTATTTCAATTATTCAATTAATACATTAATTTTTTTTTGTCACATGACATGTCACATTAATAACATATAATATCTTTAATTTAAATAAAATTAATATAAAAATTCATCAAAAATAAAATACTTTATTTTTATAATTAATTTTGCCCAAGTAATCTATCATGTCTTGAATGAGCCTAGTTAATCCATATTTCACATTCCTTCCTATAAGTAAATACATTAATTTAGTTAAATAATTTATTATAAAATAAAAATATATTTATATTTTTAATATTATAATCAATACATATTTATTTTATTAATGCGATATATCATATTAATTTATTGCATGTTCTATGCATTTTTGTTAAAAATTTTATAATAATTAATATATATATATCAATAAATTAATAAAATATACTAATCTTTATAAAAAAAAAAACACAAATCATAAATTAAACACAATTAACAGTTAAAAATGTTTGGGTAATCCAACTGATCCATTTAGCCTAAAGACTTTCTCGATACTGATGTTAAGTTTTCATATAAAAATTTCCAGTAATTGACCTGGCTTAGTCAAATAGAATAAAATGTTGTTAGTAATTCTTTTCTTATGATAATTAATTTTTTTAGTTCTAACGTAAATTTATTAAATTTAAAAAAAAAAAAAAAAAAAGAACAAGGCCTAAATTTAAACGCCCTTTTTATTTTTTTATTTTTTTGTAATTTGGCTCTTATGAAGTTGAAGTTCATAATTTCTTTTTTTTCAAGAACTTTTGAGTTGCCTGATTTGTAGCAACTTTGCGTCTCTCCTGCCGTTGCCGGTGCCTGAAACCGGACATATTGGATCTGGTAATTTCATCTTCTCTCTAATTCTTTATCCTTATCCTCCATATTTTTCAGTGAACATATACCGACCTCTAGGCGTTTTATGTTTCCGTTAATAGGGGCAGAGGGGGTTCTTGTTGAATTCAATTTGTATAACTGCATCCCCGGGTATAGGGATGAAGCTTTCTTTAATTTTTTTTGTTTTGATATTCGGCACTCCAGTGTAGATGAATGTTAGGAACTTTCATGAAGACTTTTACGTCACCATTTGGTTAATCATTAAATGTTATTAATGGTTACCAAGGAAGAGCAAATTTATTTCTTTTCCTGCATCAGGTTCAGGTTTGCATTTTTCTTTCTTTTTTAAGATGACTGAATATGGTTTCATTCTTTAACCTAATTCATCATAGTATCATTGAATTTCAGTAGTTTCACCAAAAAAAAAAAAAAAAAAAAAAACCCTTGGGTGTTGTGATAACCTCTTTAATTGCATCATAATCAGGGCACAATTAAATGGAATTGTCATTTTGTGTTGACGGCATTGGATTCTTTCTTCTCCTGTAGTGAAAGTGAAAGTCGCAATTTTGTTGTCATAGTTGGATTGAGGATCTGATGTGCCATCAAAGTTCTTGCACTCATTTATCTGCAGAAGAGGCGATTTCCGCTGAGGAGAGGCTCTTACTATATTGCAAGCCTGTTGAATTATATAATATCCTTCATCGCCGCGCCCAACACAATGTAATTTCATGCATCCTTTTCGTTGCTGGAAATACGAACATCGTAGTTTTCTTTTTTTATGATAATTTTTTTTTGGGTTTCATAGTACTAGGTATATTCCATCACGTATCCTTAGTGCTAAAGTAATTTGCTATTCTTATTTATAATTCACGGGAGTAATATATAAATATCGCTTTTTTAAGAGATTGAACTCATTTGAGAAATCAATATTTTGGATGCTTTTAGGCTGCCTTGTTGTTTGACTTAGGAAAATAGTAGATCTCCGATTATTTGCTGTTTGGATTACGAGCATGTTAATCTTTGTACTACATGTTGGTTATTTCAGTACTTATTTGAAAGCTATCCCTTTTTACCCATAAGTGAGATCTAAGTGTCTGTGAGATGTTTTGATGTAATGTAATTGCTAATATGGGTGCATCTTCCCTCTGTTTCTACTTTATAACCATCTGTTCTTCTGCTGCAGCCTTTGTTTCTTCAAAGATGTTTGCATTATAACATACAAGAAAGGCGCAACAGGGAGTAAGAACTATCTCCTTCATGTTTATTTTCATATGCATGTTTAATAACCTAGGAAGCCGCTAATAGTATTTCCACAGCCCTTAATGATACACTGGTTCTTGAGGAATTTTACCTTAATGACATGGTAGGTATTAGTGTGAATTCTACTCTATCACTTTCATCCTTTTTAAGAGTGTCTACCTTTCAGCCATCAGTCTAATTACAGGTGTTTATATGATTATTTCAAAAGTGCTTTCTTTAGAGGTTGATTGAGGTGTTTGATGAGAAGATATCCATTCACCACAGTACTTCTATGGAATGTATTAATGCCTCTCTTATCTCTAATGAGGTGGTGGAGGAAGGTAGTAGGTCGAGAAACAGCTGCTTGGTGTTTAATTTTGATTTTGAGGGAGCCTATGACCAAATGAGTTAGGCTTGTTAGTTAAGGTTTTGGAGAGAAGATGCAGTGTGGAATTTCAGGTTTACTTTCTTCAATAGCCTTTGCTATTTTGACTAGTAGCAAACCTAGAGATGGGGTTCTATAGTGGTTTGAGACAAGGGGACTCCCTGTCACGTTGCCTTTTCATGATGTCTTAGCATTGGTCATTGTAAGGTAGAGGTTCCTCTCTTATGATAAGGTAAGGTTCTATAATGTGCTTACCATCTTGCAGATCTTTGAGGGTATTACTGGTTTGTGGCTAAACTAAGAAAGAGCAGCTTAGTGTGTTTAGTGTCGAGAAGCAGAGTGTTTTGGATTTGGTTGTATCTGACATCTTATCATCTGAATGTATCTAGGTGCCCGTCCAGAGATAGAGAGACATAAGAGTGAGTAAAACCCATAGCTAATGTGTTACAGGACAATTGTAGGTAGAAAGTTATAAATTTAAAATAGGTATGAAACTAGTGTGAATTAAATGATATATCTGTTCCGATCCGACCTGCTCCGACATTGTTAATTCTACTT